CGGTCGCCGTAATTAAGTTCAACCAATATTACAATCAATTACCATTGCTTTATGCCGTAAGGTAATTGGACGTATACGGAGCTTTAATTTATAGAAACGATCTTGTTAAAATGGGTGGATAATAGAGGCCGCGACAAAGTATATCCATTTTTTATAAGTATAAAGAATCGTTTTATAACAACGTGTGCTAAGTGGATCCGATAATTTATTGAGGAAATATCACAGTATGTTATAGATGCGCTATAGTGTGAAGTTTCTTTGCAGTTCGTTACTTTCATGCAGCATCCATGTATCCATCAACGTCGTTCATTTGTAATGGTTTTCTAGTCCGATAACTTCGCAATGCGGCAGTGAACAATTTCAACATTTCATGATTCATTAATTATTATTGAAACATCTTAACTATGTCGATAAAAAATGATTATCTTGATAATAATTTGTTACAACTAATCTAGCATCAGGAATTGTTGAAATGTATTTCTTTTTAGACATCCACTTTCACGTTTATCGGTAAATCTTTCCTTCGCACACGTACGCGGTTTTGGTGTGAACGGTCGAACCCGTACGCATTAATCGATCGTATCCGAACACATAGTGGTGGCGGCAGTAACAACAGCAGCAGCAGGAGCAGCGGCAAATGTATTTTCCGGTTAAGTAAATAAATTACCTTAACGAATACCCCCGGGCATCTCAATTATTTTAATTTGCCTTACCTGTTGCGCCTTACCGACTGCGCCTCTGTTGCCGCTTTCGCGGTTTCCGCCTCTTCTATACCCGGCCGTGTCCGTTTAAAAGACGATTAATAATAATTATTTGCCTTCGGACCGTACTTATATAATTACGATTTTCAATTTAACCAGCACTCTATCGGTTGTTACATCTAGCACGTTGCTTTTATAATAAATTTCATACTGAATTTTTTGTATCATTTCCGTAATTTTCCAATAATAACAGTGTAAAACCTCGATATAACGAACAAAATATTTTTAAGTCATAAAATTATCTATTTAATACATCAATATATTTAAATATAAATTTTAACACTTATAGATGGAAACTAACCTGGGTTATTCCTCAACATAGATAAATTCGGGGTATTCCCCGAGTTGTCACACAATATAAGAGTAGAATCTTTTAAAAATTTCTAGACGATGTTTAGGTATTGTTAAAGTATGCCTGTGTCTAATGTTAAGGTTGTGGACATCGGTTCTAAACGTAATTTTATTATAAAGATAAGGAGGAGATTTATGCATAATAATTCGATGAAATAAACATGCAGCTCTATACGTCGCGACATACCCAAACAACCAACCCACCCAAAGTATGTGATATCCTCTCGTACCTTTTGATGCCAAATATGAAACGAAGACACGCATTTTGAACCCGCTGAATACGACGAATATCATCAACATCGATGCATGCATTATAAAGGCATCGCTAAAATTGACAACAGAGAGCACTAAGTAGTGCTTCACATAAATGAGCTCTAAGTCAGCGGTGTAGCATATGTCGATTGTTATAAAGTAGCTTCAGAGTGCAATAGGCGAGTTAACAATCCTACTAATATGTTTTTTGAACCTCAGACGAGAGTCTATAATAACACCAAGATTGTGAGTTTCATAGAAAGTCAGTAGTCTAGCGCCTTACAAAACCAGATGAAAATTGTTTGATAAAGGTAAGTCATCTATCAATCTGCTACCGCTGCTGGGCCCAAAAATAACCACTGAGGATTTGGAAGGGTTAACCGTTAGACGGACGCGAGAAGCATATACATACTGCTAAATTGTCCAAGTCAGTATTTATCCTATCCACTAGCATATTTACTTCATCAGATTTAAAGCTATAATATATTTGAGTATCGTCAGCGTACATATGATAATCACAATATTTTAAGCAGGAGAAAAGCTGAAACGTATAAATCAGGTACAATAAAGGCCTGAACTATTATGGATCACGCACTGAAATCGGTTACAAAGGTAACATTTGAACAAAGAGATAGCTGAAACAGATAACCCTATATAATGTAAGATCGAAAATAAAGTTTCGTGATGTAACGAATGTGAATGTTTTTGAAAAGTCCAATAAAACAAGTGCGTCGTCAGTGATATCCAGAACTGCAGTAGTGCAATTGATGCCAGGGTGGAACCCAGACTTTTTAGGTGGTAGCCTCGCACCACCTTATTTTCGGTGACAATAGCTCTTAACCTCTCGGCAATAAGCTTTTCTAAGATTGTTGATAGAATGGGTAAGATACTGATGGGCCTAATACATTTCAGACCTGAAGGGTTTTTATTTTTGGGATAGGCATTATCAAAGCAATCTTCCATTGGTCAGGAAACACGGAAAATTCCAAACAAAAATTCATGATGTGACATAAGTATTGTTGGACAACATAGTACTAGCATTTTTTTACTAATTTTACCATTACCATTTGAATCAGTTTTAATGGAAATTATTAACTGAGCAATCTTCTCTTCTGATGTCAAGCTAAAATTTACATGTGTACATTCGATGATTGTTATAGAAATCTTGCAAATCACAATCGCCCGAGGAATTACCTGTATCGATTGAAAAAAACAATTCATTTGATTAGGTGTACCCAAAGTGTCCGAAATATTTTGACGTCTGATAGGAATAACACCCAGGGATTTAATAGAATTCCATAATTTACAAGAATCGTTTCCAGCAAATAAATGTGCGAGAAATGCACACTTTTCGCGAAGCATGGACGAGGTGGGAAAATTTCTGATTATTAAAAAATTCTACTTTCGCATTGATACGGTATTGCATTCAAATCAGAAGTGAATTTGTTCAGATCAAAGTTCTTGTAATCCTGACATGTAACCATTCTAGGTTGTATAGCTTGAGCAGTAAAATCAAGAATAAGGTATATTAGTGATCAACTGATCAGAAATGTCATGTATGGTAACCACACCTGAGTCAGTCACTGGGGCATCAATATTTATAACAATATAATCGATTAGCGCAGCTGAGGTTTCCGTAATTCTTGTAGGAGTTGTTATAACTTGTTGCAAGTCAAACTGCTCTAAAATGGGAACATACCGATTACCGTATGTACCATTGATGTTTAGCTCGTTGAGGTTAAAATCTCCAAGACAAATAAAATCTTGCAATTGTGGTACCAAATATGACAAAGCTTCCTGAAATTGAGACAACCATGCTCAATAACGTGTCGTATGACTGTAAAGTGAGCAGGCAGGGACCTAACATTTAAATGGCCAAATTTCATGTGACTTTATGTAAAGCTATTGATAAAAAAACAAACTTTCAGTTTCAAATTTAATCTATATAAGGACAACACACTTAATTAAATGCAAAAGCAGCTACTGCCGATCCAAAAATAACAATATAATATTCTAACAGAGAATTAATAATAAATAACGGTACATTACTTTTTATTCAAAGTATTATCCATCACTAGCCACTACTTTTTCCCATCTATCTAGCAGCATTCGGATACTTCGCCAGAAGAATTCTTCATCTTTTGTGCCTATACACAAATTGACCCAATTTTTAGTAACTTCATATGATGTAAAGTGCTGCTTAGACAGGCCATGTGTCATCGACCGGAACAAGTGATAATCAGAAGGAGCATGAATACGACGGGTGGAGTAGGACTTAATTAAGTGTTTCCAAATAGGTTTTGACAGGCGCCGCAACATGCGGACGAGCATTATCATCTAGAAGAATAATTTTTTCGTGCCTTGAGTAGTCTTGCGCGTCTTTCCTTGATCGGCTCAATCTTATTAATTGTTCATTAAATATTCGTTTTGGCTGTCGAGCAATCTAACCGTATGCTTCTACAAGCGATGCGCCTTAACTGCAGATGTCTTTAAATTAAAGAAGTATATCAAAAGTTCCCGCAAATGACGCTTACTCGGCACAAAACTTGACATTTTCTCATTAACAAAATTATGTGATGCTGATACGAAGTCACTAATACTTCAAGGTTAATTTGTTATCAGATGCCCAAAGTTACGATATTTGTATTCCTAATAATATTATGAATCAGAAGAATTTAAAAAACTTTTTTTATTTTCCCATTTTTGTTTTCAATTTTCCTTTTAATAGGAATAACGTTGAACACAAACAACAAACGATACGACATAACGCTGTTATATGCAACTTTCATGTCTTTTTTTTTGGTCGGCACGTGCCGGCAGTCTCCTCTTTTGATATATCCATTCGTGAACTTACCATAATCACTTAAAGCGACGTCGCCTCCCCACGATCTATTTCCGGTGATGCTTTTTTTATGATAGATTCTTCGATCGACTTTTACTATTTCGATGGCAATAATTTTAATCCCATGAGTCAAGTTTTTCAAATAAAAATAAAAAAAAAATACTTTCTAAAAATATTTTTAACTACGGTTTAATAAAATTATGAAACATTTTAAAATAAAATTTGGAAATCTAATTAAAGTTTATCGAAAAAAAAAAAAGATTGAATAAAATTGTTATTTTTTTATATAAAAATCAAAGCATAATAACTTTATTATATTATCAAAAATTGTGTAACTCCGCGTTGCGCAACCTAAAATGAAACAAATATAAATAAAAAATAAATAAATAATATTGTTATTGAATTTTCGTAGTGCTGTAGGTTTTAGTGAAAGTGGGTTTCGATTTTTGCAAATATTCGAAAGGTTACAATGATTTGTGGAGCGCAATTGCCCGCGTTGTTACACGCTATAACGTTCATAAATATAATTCGTCGGTTTTGCGCGAAACGTGAGGTGTTGTCCGTACTCCACCTGCAACGGAATCAATGATATTATCGATTAACACATATCTATTATGGTGTCAATCTGAAAGGCGTTATCGAACGTGAATCATGAATAAAACCCGACCAATAACCATAGTAGGTCCGACATGTTTGACGGACAATTTAACTCTCTATAGTTCAAACAATAAATCTTTTTGTTATAATTTATTTATTTATTCGTTTTATTTTATATATTTTTTTTTCTTTTGCAGATATTATGAAACGGGTAGTTTTAAGGCGGGTGTTATCGGCGGCTCGAAACCTAAGGTGGCAACACCGCCGGTGGTGGATGCGATAGCGAACTACAAGAGAGAGAATCCGACCATGTTCGCATGGGAGATACGGGACAGATTGCTGGCGGAAGGCATTTGTTCGCAAGATAACGTGCCCAGTGTCTCATCGATTAACAGGTAAGATAAATCGATCGGAACTCCACGTGTGTATACCTTACGTTGGGAACGTAGTCGTCCGAACGAAAACTCGACACGGGATCGTGTACAGCAACAATTACTTAAAGAACTTGTTTACTTCGACGTTGACGACAATCTCCGCCGCCCGGACCCGAATAAAAAACCGTCCACTCCGGTGACGGCCTGAATAATTTAACATACTTTATACACTTGTTTGTTACTTTTTGACTCAGGATAATTTTTTGTCTCAAACAAAACCGAGTCATAAATCGAATCATAATTCAACTAAATTTAGGTGGAGGCGCATAAAAAGACCACTTTCTTCCCCCCATTATCTTTCTAAAACTCCCTTAAACTTTCTGCAAACGAAGTATAAGGGCTGTAATCAGGGTGACGGGTCCGGGAGATGATAAATACGATTCAGTCGTGGGGGGGAAACGGGGGGATGGTGGTTGTGAGGGCGCTGGTGTCGCGGCGGGGTTCCGGAAACGGACATGACGCCATGCTGAGTAGAAACAGCGGAAGACTACTCCAAACAATGGCGAAGCGCACTCCGTTTTTATGCGGCCGCAATTAGGGCGACGGAGATTCGGATTGTTTTTCCAACTTATAACGATCTTATTGTGTGCGGTTTTTATTGGTCTTTTTTTGGGAGGTCCAATAAAAACTAGCCCCCGTGCGCGGACTTGCCCGCAAATATCATTATTCTTCGAAACTACCCTCGGACTCGGAGGCATAGCTTCTCTGGAAACTACCCACGCTGACGTTGTTTATCGTTTAATTTTTTTTATAAAAGAGGGTTCTACAAAATGACTAATTTTTATGGGGACATTTAAAAAAGAATTATGTTTTGTTAAAAAGTTGGGGTGGTTAAGTCTTCTTTTCATACTGAGAATTGTTTGGGTGTATTAAGTACAGCAACACCTAAATAGGATAATCCAAAGTAATACCAAAAACCACATCCCTTGATGCGTCCTAATCCACTTAGCGGAGAGCGGCGGTGTTTTAACGACGACGCCTTCTCGGCCCAGAAAGAAAAATCACACTCCCCGATCCATTCCCGTCCTTCTACCTCCGCGTTGCACTTGATGAATAGTTGATTTCTGGTCCCTGGGGGCGAGTCAGAATAACAACCCCATTGATATAAGCCGAGCGCCCCAGGGGTAATTCGCTCCCGTGTACCTTTTTACTGCCTTCTCTGCCCGACGACCCCTTATGCTGCCACCGGATTATGAGCAGAATACAGGCTACTTACTGACTTTCCCCTTTGTCCTACCCTTATAACGGCACCCAGTACCAAGTTTATTGATATAGTTATGCGTGGGCGTACATAATTTCAAACAAATCTGTATTACTACAATAAAAATGTTAAAATGTTAAAGCGATCATAAAAATTTTTATTTCTAAATGGAAACTTAACCTTTTTTGGAACCATTAACCCACTTTTCAATTTAAAAACTGAAATCTTTCAAATATCATATAGAAAACTGTCCGAATCACAACAACAATAAAGCAAAAGAGAATGAACATATCAAATCTCATCCGGAGAGGGTACATATGCGTTATTTTGTCGACGTTGTCGCCCTTAGAGGGTAGATGGTCCCCGGGGGCGGCTGCAGTCAAATTAAATATGTCAAATAGAGTCCCACAGGGCTGCTCCGAAGAGCGCGTTATCAACCTTTAGAACAATTTGGGGTTGTAATGATTAAGCGTTTGTTTGAGCGGGAACATTCAATATGCTCACCAATCGGGGTAATGAGACGGCGATGATTTAGTGATTTGATTGGTTCGAACAATCTGTTGCCCAATTTTGATGGATGTCAAAATTACTATGAGAATATTCGATTATGTAGTAATAAACAGAATATGTAATGAAAAAAGGAAAGAAAGTTAGAAAATTATAGGTAATTTTTATATGAAAACCCACAATGTTATATAAAAGTAAAAGCTTTCGTCGAATAAACCAAAAAGGAAAACGAGGGTTTGGATAAAAGCCGGTCTGCTATTTGAATAGTCGATCGGTCCTCATCTACATCAGCGGTAATGCCGCGGTGGTGGCGTCGTCGTCGTCGGTGGTTCTTCTCCATTTTGCAGGATCGCCGAGCGAGGCGGATATCGGTTCTGGGCTCGATTTCACGAATCTGAGCGCCAGCCGAGCGTTCCGGAACCGGCTTTCTTCTCTTATTGATTTTCCCCGTCCACCGCCCTCCTCTTTTTCCAAGGGATCGAACTTCCTTGTGTGTGCCACCAGCCGGCGTCTCGGCCGTCGCGACCTTCCGTCTTTCCCCTTCGTTCCCTTCATCCCCTTTATCCCGTTTTCGCACTCCCTCCTTTACCCCGACAACTTCACCGCTCTACCAAGAAGACTCTCAACTCATACTCCACGGTTTGTATAATCAACCAAAAATTCC